TCTATCTACCTCTCTCTCTCTCTCTCTCTCTCTCCCTCTCTTTCTCTCCCTCTCTCTCTCTTGCCAATGAGCACAACAATCACAATCCTCATCAGAAGCTTCTCTCAAAATCCCTCAATTTCCACCCTCTGCATCAAGATTTACGAAGGTCTTCATTTCTCCCTCACTTTGTTACGCGCCAATCTCTTGAGGCCCAAGATCCACATGCCTCGAGTTCTCTGTGATCCTTAAGCTCCAGCCATCAGCTTTGTTGGCAAATATTCAATGGGTATCCTCTTTGAAGTAGCTTATTTATGCTGGATTTTGAAATACGACCATTTGTTGCATGATCTAAACCCTTGCCAATCTTGCTCACCCCTTCATAAGTGAGGATTGATCAACGTTTATGAAATGGAAATATGAGAGGTATGGGATATCATTGCTGCAAAGTTATATGTTAAACTTTATACAGAAATATAAGTATACTCTCCCATGAATTGAGTTAGTCTATGTTGCTGTTGTTCCTCCTCTCTCCATAACTCTCCCTTTAGTTTTGGTACGTTTCTTGATTGAATAATTAGCAAGCTCTACTTTGGAGGTTACGGGAAAGATTTATATTTATCTACAGGAATTTGATCATCATCAACATCATTAACCTTTTCCCAATTTATTAGGGCCAGCAGCACAAATCCTAGTCCTCTATTGTGCTCTATTAATTGTCATACGCTCCGTAAGACCATAAGTCCCGTGTCTTTTTGGACTACTTCCAACCATGTTTTTTTGGACTATTTCCAACGATGTTCTTTTGAGCCTACCCCTTGCTCTTTTAAGCCTTCTACTCGAACTAACTATGATTTCTCAACATGTATTGTACTTGGCGATGCCACACATGCCCAGCCCACTTAAGTCTACTCTCTCTCATTGTATCGCCTACTGGTGCCACTACAAAACTCTCTCGAATGATGGAAATGTGATTTTAAAATCTATTTAATGACCAACTGACTAATGTTCAAGTAAATTATGGTGCCTTAATTTTTTCCAAAATGATGAAAAATCATATATATTATTCTCATATCCGAAAAAAAAATCAGTCATAAAATCTTCATTTTCTTGAACTCTAATTACAAACTCTGTAAGAATTGTTTATTTCATTTAAACTAGAAGCCCTAGTTTTGCCTTTCCTCTAGATTCTATCTATCCTCATCTTTCTCTTGCTCACTTCTCTTAGAAGATTCGGTCACTTTTTTTTATTAAATTCTTGCATTCCATGGCATCTAAACAAAACCAGTTTTTATTTTTTGTCATTTTTGTATAATGAAAATATCTCTCGAAGATGTTTTCTTTGATATTACCTTGACTTATTTGTCTGTCTTTAGATAATTTAGTGGAGTTTAAATTAAGATTTTGATTTTTTTAGTGGCTTGCTTCTAATATATGAAGTAGTTCCTAGTTAAGAATATAAAGTAACGTCCTTCTGGTTTCATGAACATAGAGTTAGTTTAGCATGGGCATGAGATGCTTATGAATTTTGAGTAATCCCATATAAACATTGATTTTTATTATAGCTAGTTTATGAAAAACTGTATAGCTAGTTTATGAAAAACTGTATAGCTATTGGAGTTAAAGTTGCTAGAATTGTCATGTAACATACTTATGATATTCTATAATATCTATCTTTATAGGTTTGATTAAATTTTTTTCCTATGAAGATGGCTACCTCAACAGTATTAGTATTGTTCAAGATAAATGATGTTGCTATAGAGTAAAAATATTGGCAATATTGATGGTCATAATAAGGAAAAGCATTTAATGCTAGCTCTAGAGTATCTTGAATTATTAGATGATTAAATTTTCAGTTGTTGAATGTTCTAACTAAATTATCTTTTCATCTTTATGGGTACGCAAAATAGGATGAATGCAAACTTGGAGATGATTGCAGTTGACATGGAGATGGGGAGTAATTCGATTGGTAATGGGACGTAGATAAATAAGAAGGCATGAAGTTCTCTTCCTTGGGAGTACAAAATGGAGGATATTATTCTTTTGGATGTTGATGATTTTTATAGTCACCATGGATTAGAGAATGCTATTGACATAGATGGTGATGATAGCAATGACTCTAATGTAAGACAAGATACAAGTGAGACTCGTATGGTGGAGCCTCTAACCATATAATTTAGTATAGAGGTCCCACAAGAGGGTATGTGATTTGAGTCCCATGAAGCTGGATTAGATTTTTATAATAAATATGTTAAGAAATTTGGTTTTAGTATTCAATGTTTTCTTCGACTCGTAGAACAAGGAAAGATGGATCATTCATCACTCGTAAATTTGTATGCTCAAAACAAGGCAAGCGGCACAAGATATATGAGGCAAATTAGTCTCGGCCTTATACAAGGATAGGGTGCAGAGCCATGTTAAGAATCAAGAAAGATGAATATGGTATATGGTTTATTGCAAATCGCAATAAAGATCACACTCATGACTTAACTTCACAATCCAAAATCCATCTCCTTATGTTACATCGTAAAATTCTGAAGTACACACGAGAGATGATTCGTATGCATAACTAATGTGGGTTAACTACCCCAAAGATAATGAAAGTGTTGAGTACACAGGGTGAAGGTCCAAGGAGTCTCCCTTTTGTAGAGCTAAAATGTAAGAATGAAACATATAAAAATCAGAAGAAAATAGTGGTGGAGATCTATGGATGATGAGATTGCATTGTAGAACGACATTTTGAAAGTAAAATACGGTGACGACAGATACAGTCTATAGTTGGGTGGTAACGGTAATCAGAGAAAGCAATCTATAGTTTGGAAAGGTTTTACAAACTAAAATATTCATGACAATTTATTCTAGATGGGAGGTGGGTAATGGATCCAAGGTTCCTTTTTGGTATGGTAAGTAGGTTGGTGATGCTCCTCAAAGGTATTCCTTTCCTCTTGTTTTTAATGCTTCTTCTAATCCAATGGCAAAAGTGACGGAGATGTTCTCAAGGGAAAGAGGAGTTTGGGACATTGGGTATATTTACAATAGAGCTTCTGATGAATTTATTGTGCAGATGGCAGGGTTGTTACATGTCTTGGAGAAGGTAAACTTCTTTCCTGATTTTAAGGATGAGGTGGTATGGGAGGCTGAGAATGATGGAATTTATTTCAGTAAAATCTGTGTATAAATTGTTGTTCTATGATAGGAAAGGTGGAATAGATGCTCATTAAAGAGAATATGGACATGGAAGATACCACAAAAAGCCAAGGTATTCTTGTAGGTCTTATTTCAAGGGAAATCATTGACTGTTGACAAATTGATGAGTAGAGGAAGAATTATATCCAACATTTGCATTATGTATAAGGATAGTGACGAGAACATTTGCAATATGTGCCCCAATTTGGGAGTATATCACTACACAATGAGTTTTTTTTTAGGATGTGCTTTGTTCCATAGAGCGAGGAGTCTTTTACATGATCGTTCACAAAGTGGCATGAAGTGATGAATGGGTGCAAAACCCAAGTCAATCATCAAAGATCAAGACAAGGCAATGGCACCTGCAATAAAAAAAGGTGTTCCCAGAGTCCCAATGCAGGTTATGTAGATGACATATTACACAAAAGATTGAGCAAAAAATGGCACAAGTTGTGCACAAACATCCATCACTCCATAGGGACACAAAAATATATTGACCATTGTACTACCATTGCACAATTTGAAGATGAATGGCCAAGAATATTAGAAATATATGATTGAATGAATAATGAATGATTGAAAGTCTTTAAAAGAAATCTGGCATCAATAGGTGGATGTATAGCTGCAAGATTACTTCTTTGTTGGCAATAGGACTAGTATAAGAATTGAAGCCATGAATAAGCATATCAAGGCCTATGTGAATTTTCATACTAATTTGACTACATTTGTTGGCTAATTACAAGAATTAATTAACAATAAATTTGATGAAGAAAACTCTGCAGACTTCAAATCTCACAATGAGACACCAATTATGAAGAATGCCACTCACATAGAGAAGCAAATGGCTCAAATTTATATATCAACTGTCTTTTAAAACTTCTTTCAGCCAGAGTTAATGAGAGCCGTTAATCTTATTTGTGATGTGCAAGACGATGATGGGGGCTCTATGCACTTTAAGTTTGAAAGAATATGGGACATGTCGCCCATTCTACGTGGTAGAATTCACTATCATTGAGGAGAAAGCAACATGTAGCGACCATATATATGAGTGCATGGGTATCCCATGTAGCCATATGCTTAGGGTATTTGTATTTAAAAATATACTTTGAGTTACCCCAACACTATATAATGAAGTGATGGACAAAGGGGTTGCTCGTGTTGGTTATAGAGTTCAAATACAAGCCCATACTTATTCCACATGCTACAATGATCTATTGCAAAGGTGCAACATTCTATCAACTAATGGGCAGTGAATTTGAGTGTATATGAGTACGCAAAGATGCTTATAGATGAGGTACATGTAAAGATTGTTTCTAGGGTTGACATGGAGAAAGCTTCTTAAAAGCATGCTTCTTCAACCTATGGTAGCCCCACATCCACAGGAATCCCCACCCTATGTGGGGTTCTCATCCTCACTGTGACTAATTATTGAGGCTTCAATTTGTGCAAAGCCAAAAGGACAACCAATTCATGTGATAATCAAACGTAGGAATAAGCAAAGAACGAGTAAGAGAAAGTGCACTAAATGTGGAGTCATAGGTCAGACAAACATAATTGTTCATCTATGCATTGCAAATAGTATGATTAGACATCTTTCTTACTTGTGATCTTACTTTACTATTTAGATGCCATTATCTGGGCTCACCGTTCTTTGCTTTAAATGGAAGCATACGTGCTTATATTTAAAGAACTTATGGAATGTTGTTTACTAGATGGTTCTTTTTGGAATATAGTTTATGGAAAATAATGTCATGAAAATTTCTTACTCAAATGCTCTACTATTACAAAGTTATTATTTCTTGTATATTTATATATAGGGGGCAGTATTTAGAGCACAAGTAACCTTCAAGGCAGCACAAGTAATCTTCAAGGGAGCATAATTGACACCAAGAAACCTCTTTTACACCTTTTTGAGCTTATGGTTCCTTGTATCCTTTTTGTATCTATTATGTAGTTTGTTTTTTAGATGTATAGTATTTTTTGAGTTACCTTATCTTTTTGGCTGGGGGGTTTTGTATTGAGCACTTCTGGCTTGGGGCTGCCTATTTTTTTGTACTCTATGTACTTTCTGGTTACACATAGGTTAACAATTTTAAAACAAAAAATTATATGTCTTTTTTGTAAAGAGAGTTTTGGATGCTAATTGGAATGTTGTAAGATCACTTGGGTGCATATAAATACATAGTTTCTTTGTGTCAACAAATTTGGCAACTAATTTGAGGGTCCCCATTTTATTTATATAGAAATGTAATATTTTTTCTTTTGTGATCAGAAGTGCTTGTTAAGGGCTATGCTATCAGCTTTTATTTATGTAAATTTAAAGATGATTTGAATTTTTTAAAGAATATGCTATCATTTTGATTCATGCAAGTATTGGTTGTAGGATTTTTATGTTCATTGAATTTGAGATGAACTCATTGTTGTGATGTTAAGATGTTTGAAGAATTATTTTCCTAGTTATCCATCAGTTTCAACAGGTGTTTCATGTGTAATTTGGACTAAATGCCGCTACTAGTAGAAACAAATCAATTGCGATGAGTATCTGTTTCAGTAGGTGTTACTTTTGTTTGAACAAAACTTAGGCCGATGTACATACACTATGTAGTAGTGTGTATAGGTTGATTTCAATGTATGTGCACTGTTGCGTAGCATGTATATGTTGTTATTGAGGTCCACATGCTATGACACAGGTGTAAACGATGTTAACAATGTGAACACATTGCTAACAATGTGTATATACTACTGACAACTTGTACACACTTTTAACATTGTGTATGTGTTGATTTCAAAGCTTGTATATTGTTCATAATGTGTATATGTTGATCCCAGTATTTGCATACTTTCATATGAGCATACATAGGATGTTACTAACATGTATTGTAAGGCATATGAGCTATATGCATCATCGAAGGATAGGCAAAAACAAACTATATTCCTACTGTGGTACCAGAACGAGCCAAAAATATTCTAAACTCAACGCCTGAGACAAGATTGGTTGGAACGAGATGGAGTTCAATGAGTAGTAGTGTGTATATACTGCTAACATCATGTACACACTTTTAACAATGTGTATTGATTACAATGCTTGTATGTTGCTCATAATGTGCATATGTTGTTCTCAGTGTTTGCATACTTTTACATGAGCATATATAGGATCTTACTAACATGTGTTGCAAGTCATATGAGCTATATGTAATGTTTCTTAGTTTGATTAATAATTTGACTCGCAGGCTCTATTTAGAGTTTGTGTAGTTAACTCGAATACATGTTGATTGATACAAGTTTTGGAAGAGTTGCCGGACATACATATTATGCTTGGTTATTACATCTATTAGTGTTGCTAGGTTTTGGCGTCACAGTGAGCTCTAGAGTGTTCGAGAGCTATTGCTTGCATTTGGAGACAGAGATTGAGCTAAAATGTGGAGCGGTATAGATTGACCTTTAGAAAGTATAGCATCTATGTCAACATAACTGTGGAGCAGCATAGATTGGCCTAAAATGTTGTGGCAACACAATCGTTTGATATTCTTTGTGTCAATAACTTTGACAACTAATTTGAAGGTCTCCACATTATTGATAAGGGAATGTAATACTGTTTTTGTGATGACAAGTGCGTGTTAAAGACTATGCTATCAATTGATAGTTATGTAAATTTAAAGACGATTTCATTTTGTTAAAGAATGTGTTGTCATTTTGATTTATACATGTATTAGTTGTAGGATTTTTATGTTCATTGAATTTGAGTTGAGCTCATTGCTGTGGTTTTGAGATGCTTGAACAGTTGTTTGTAATTGCTCATTTTTTCTGGTCATGCATATGTTTCAGCAGGGGTTTAATGTTTGATTTGAGAAAATGGCTTAAAATGACAGTGTAAATATAATAAGGCAAGTTACGCCAGCAAAATCTCAACCATCTTGTTGGTCTTCAGTTAGTTAGATGTTGGGGATTTGATTTTTTTCCAATTGCGATGGTAATTAGCAAGTAGAGAGAGAGAGAGAGAGAGAGAGAGAGAGAGAGAGAGAGGAGGTACTCTACATATACAGTCGACACTAATATACGTAGTTAGTAGAAGAAACGAAACGTAAAGTAGTTAGTTTTATTTTAGTTAGTAACTTAACTAAAATTA